CAAGAGCAATATATATGTACTTAAGACCTCTCACCAGCTCACATTTCAAACACTGAATTGAGTGTATTTAAGTATGATACAGTTACGGCATACAAAATAATAATATAACAAATATCTCTGCCTCCATACACAGCTTAAGGAGAAAAAAAAAAATCTAGCCAAAGCATCTGAAACCACCTGAGTATTCTTTCACAATTAAATTTTAACTAATATTTACAACTGCATCAGTGACCTTACATGTTCCCTTGTTCCCAGCAAATCACCATATCAGCATCTAGTTCAACTTCTGGCCTCAAGTGAGGTTCAATAAAATTGAGTTTTCCATTCTGTCTATAGAATGAATGTACTTCCACGGCTTAGAACATTCTTAGCAATACGCGTTTTCCACTCATGGATGGATCACCTACCAAGCCTTCACAGCCACAGTAACAAGTCATGAGAATCACATTAGTATAGCAAACTTTTCTATGACTGCACTACTTCAGCATAATGAGGTTAACAACACGGAGAAGATTTTTACACGCATTACAAGAATAGCTGCTTAACTCTGTCCGAGTTGAATTTCCATCAGGATTACTTGTGCCTCCCCAGAAATCCCCAGGGCTCGTGGAAAAAACCAAACCTGCTCAAAGACCTTCCTTCAAAGCACAGGTATTCTAGCCAAGTAAGCTTCAGAAAAAGAAAAAAAAAAAAAAAAGAAGAAAAAGAAGAAATATTTTTCAGTCTCTTATGCTCCTTAGAAAAATCCCCTCACAGGTATTTCTTTAAATGAAAGAAAAAAAAAATCTCTCTAGATACAACTTAACCACTATCCTTAGTTTAAAAAAAAGGCTTCTGAAAGATAAACAAATAAGGTAATCTTCCTCATAATTCTCATCAAACTGAATCTTGCTAAGAAAGTTTACTATATTGCAAATATAGCATCTTTTTAGGAGGCTGGCTTTAAATGGAACCAAGTATAATATTCCATCTTAAATAATTCAATTTATTTTTATTTCACTGGCCTCTCTTTTCTTCCCTCCCCTTCCCCCCACCTCTTACCAACTCTTTCAATCCCACAGATACCCATCTGGGCATCAGACCAGGACTTAAACTGTGCCAAATCGCAGTGCATCTGAAATCCACTACCTTTTTTCATCAGCCAGTGAAAACCCTTGAGCAGCAGTTGGAGGAAAAGAGAAAAGGGAATTCACGTCAGAAACAGATTATCAATTTCGCTACCTTCCACCCAAAGGACTGCTTGTCCTCTGATACTTTCCCCTTCGCTAACTCTTGACAGAGGCCAGGGAAGGCCAGGACAGTGCTGGGAGCAGCAGGCTGTGTCTCCTACAATCAGTCCTCCCTAGGCTGGGGCTATGATGCCAATGGGGGGGCGCAGAGAAGCTCCACCTCAGAAAGGGTTAAAACTTACCACAACGGCACTGAGCAGAACAGAACAGCACGAGTTGTTCTAGACTAGCTTTGACATGTGTTAGCTATTGAGAGAATCAAGTAGCAATGTGCATGTTCTTTGACTTGACATGCATCACAAACCATTTTATCATTTCATGTTTAAAATGTTCCAAGCAAAAATTTAGACATCATAGATTCCACTGGCAATACAGTTCACTTTTTTTTTTTTTTAAATCTTTTTCTTGGCCTACTCTCTCAAAATATTTACTAACTTGTTAAGCTTTCTGAAGCCCACTAATTTGAGCTGTCAAAGATGTAGTCCTTGATGGCAAATGACTTCGGTGTCTTTAAGTTAGGGAAGGGAGGTCTCTTTTACCCCACCCCAAGCTCTTAGTCATTAAGGGTCATAGTCTTTCAAGTTCTTTTCTAAAATTCACTCAAATCCAAGGCAAATATACGTAACCATAAAGAAATGTATGGCTTTATATATTCATGAAACTATTTTATCACCTACCCTCGATAATTTCATATTTCTGTTTAGATGATGGAAATGACTTTTAAAATTTTTTGAAACCTCACATACATCATAAAGCAAGTTAATACTGAATTAGGGCAATATAAACAATCCCAATAACGTAATGTAAAATGCACAAATACTTTTATTATGCCAGGCATTTAACCTGTCCAAACTCAGGGAAGGAGGAGAAGAACCTTCATAAACCAAGAAATTAAACTTATCAATATACTCTCAACATTAGTTTTTTTCCCACCCTAATCTTTGCTCCCTACCCCATATCCAATCCCTAAAAGGAAGAAACCTAGAAGAGCAGATTAGAATCAAAATTCTCCCATAGGAAAACATTCCTTTAAAACAATGACAAAGCAACAACTTCAGCACAGAATGTCCACAGGGGATCTTAGAAAATATGCATTATATGCAGATGATTCCTGTGACTTAATCTAAATTAAAAATCCCTTTTCAGTATGGACATTTTGGCATACCATGAAATGTTACCACTGTGTACTAATATTTACCTTAACAGAATCAAAACTGTGCCTTCCAGAAAGCCAAGATTGGGACTAATAGGCCCATTCAAATCCAAATTTATCTACTGGCTTTTGCAACATAATCCAGCCAAAAGAATGTGATTCATATCTCAGCTATGCAACAGCTAACTTTTCAATGTGTTTTGAAGTAAGCGCCACCAAAAAAAAAAAAAAAAAGTAGCAGTCATAGCTTTGGCATTAAAACACTCTAAGCAATTTGAGAATCTTTAGAAATATAAGAACTAAGTAATACAGGCTCATTGAAGAACTTTAGAAAACACATATGAGCAAAAAGAAAAATAATCCCAAAATGCCAAGATGACCACTGGTAACATGCTAATGTACACCCCACTAAACTGTTTTGAAAAAATATTTTTCACATAAATGACTTCATATTGCACACATTTACTTAAAAATACCAATATGTCTATGCTTCTATATACACATTGATAACATTTTTATGAATCTATAATCTTCTACCTTATGGATATACCTAATTCAATGAACTCCACTGAGATTCTATATAATCTTGTTAGATGCCCTACGCTAAAGGAACAGGGTAGGTTAACCACCATTTCCTAAAGTTATTTGTCCATGACATTCTTTTTTAATTACACATTAGAACTTGGGTTCTTTTCAAAATACTTTGGGAAATTGTGACTTAACTAATCTTCCATATTGGATTTTTATGTTGTTTCCAATTTTTTTTCCTATTATAAAAATGCTGTGATCAACTTGTTGTACATTTCTGTGCTTTCTTTAGGGAAAAAACTCTAAAAAGAGAGTTAATGGGCCAATTGGTATACATATGTTAAAAACATGTGATAATTTCTGCCCAACTGTCCCCCAATAGTGTATGAGAATCGTCAATCTTTTTAAATGATCATTTTCATTTAAAGAATCATTTGCAAGTTATGAGCATGCATCATACATACCCAGTATTTTTAAATTTATATAATTACTTTTTTTATGGACATGGTTAAAGTGCACAGTTCTAAATATCAAAGGCCATACTGTAATGGAGGTTGATTCAGAAAACCATTTAAGAATTTATAGAACATGACAACATGGATATGTTGGATTGTCTTGCTTTCATTTTCCTCTTTGTAAGAGCTACGTAGTTCTGGATAACATTCTATACTCTTAAGAAGCTATTAATAATCCCTTTATATTACTTTAATATTTTTTATAGTTATAATACTTTATAATTATATAATTATATAAATACTTTTATAATTATAATACTTCATATTACTAAAGCATTTAAAACACAAAGAATTTTAGCAGAATAAAACATCCTCAGAACAGTCTTTAAAACAGGATATTAAGCTGTACCCTCCCTCCCAAAAAAAAAAGATCCTTCAAGCTACACAATAGTAGCTACATATTTAGAACCAGGACTGCAATAACCAAAATCATTACCAAAATCAACCAATACCAGTCTCATTAACAGAAATGCATACCTTAAATGTGTACCTATCTGAATTTAGCGCTTCTTTTTGGTGCATATTTCTGCAGTTACAAATAATAAAAAATAAGCTCCTGACATAATATAAAGATGGCTCACAGAACAAAACAGGCTGTAGGTTCCTTTTTTTTCTTTTTAAAAGTGACATTGGTTGTAATTTTATACCTCAAAGTAACTCTCAAAGTTACTTAAGTATAGTGCTCACACCCAGGGTGGAGTTCTGTGTAATTTTCAAAGCTCAGAAAGGCCCTGCCTGCTCAAAAATATCTCCCTTTAGAGCCTGTCTCAGAATCATATTTGAAGCTTTTCAAAAATACACAAATTTGTATTCAATAGGTCTAGAGAGAGGCCAGTGCATCTACATTTTTTTTACTATTAGGAACTATTAGGATACTACGGTACATCTCCTCAGTTGATTTATTTGAACAGTGAGTAGAAAAGCACTTTTGGTTATATAGAAAAGACTGGGAGGGGGAGTAGTATCCTTAGGTCCCCAATTTAAAAGTCCATACAAAAATCATTAATCTGTCTTAGTCTAGTTTATTAGATTACCTAGGTGAAACCTATACCTTGAGAGGCTCATAAGAAGTTTCAAAATTGGAAGCAAAGCTGTGACACCTGTTGGCCTAGCCCTGGCCACCAACAGGGATGGGGGTGAGGACAGATGGTAATGAGGCAAAATTCCGGAAGATGCATACTGCCAGAAACCATGGCACTTCCTACTTGAAGCATATAATCCCTTCAACTTCATAAAATAGGCTAAAAAGAAAAAAAAAATGCCCAGCTGTATTTTTGTGTTGAAAGGGGGTAGTGTTACAAATGACCAGCATCCAGCTATAGGGAACGGTCTCACCAGGCCATCCCAGTCAACACACAAGGCGAGGAAATGGGGTGGAGAACTTAAGAGGAATACTCAGAGACAGTGTATTTATTACCTTGTACAATATGATGTTCATTTGTCAGAATTAGGTTTCTCAAAAGTTTGTCTCACAAGAACAGTGGAAAACAAGCCAAACAAACAAACAAAAAACCTATGTCTTCTAAGTAGTTTATGCGTAAAAAGCTGTCATTTTCTTAAGTTTCCATTACCTACCAGATCTGGACTTAATGATGTCACTGAACTCGTTCTGCCCATCGTCAGGCCTGGGTTCAAGCTCTCCACACTTGGCCATCTTTGCTGGGTTTCGATATAATCCAAAGACTTTCCTAAATACTCTTTTTTAAGACTTTCAGTTTTCTATAATGCTCCAGCTTGACATCAATACCTAAAGAAAAAAGAGAAAATATTGACTTGAAAAAGTATTATACATATATCATTTAACAGTCATATAAAGTTATATGTAGTAACTGTTCATTCAACAAATATTTATGCCGTGCCTACCATGTATAAGGCACTGATCTGAGCAACGGGGATATGACTATCAAAAACAGAGCACAACCCCTCTGCTACTATGAAGTTTATAAACACGAAGGAGTTAATTATATAATAAATTATTTCTGATATGCTAATAAACATACAAAGGAGAAGCATGGAGTAATACCACCATATATCTGTAGAGGAATCTGTCCTGCTCTGGGCAATTAGAGAAGGCTTTCTTGAAGAAATGACATTTGAGTCAAGCCTTCAAGGATGAGAAGAATTTAATTAGGTAATCCTTGATTGAATTCAGAATTTTTAAAAACAGACATTTTGGGATAATTTGAAAAACCTGACTTTGGGCTGTATATTAGGCAATATTATTCTATCAGTATTAAGCTTCTTTAATATTGGTTAATGGTTTTGTCATTATTCAAGGAAATGTCTGATTGCAGGAGACACCACGATGAAATAGTTAGCAATGAATTGTGATAATATCTTCAACTTGAGTTCAAGCAGGACAGCATATATCTCTCTATCTGTGCATGTCTATCTGCCTATTTATATCTGTTTATGTAAGTATGTATAGGGGGATGGGGGAAAGAGAGAGGAGAGAGAGGAGGGAGGGAGAGGGAGAGAGGGAGAGAGGGAGAGAGGGAGAGAGGGAGAGAGAACAAACTTTGGAAAATGCTAAGTGGGGAATGTAGTAACTGAGCATATGGGTGTTCAGTCTTCTATTCTTCCTAGTGTAATATTACAGGCAGGAAATCACTGTGGCCTAAACAAGGGTAAATGGAAAGAAATGGGTGGATATGTGGGATATTTCAATATTAAATAAAGAAGGTCAATAGGATTTGGGAACTGATTGGATATGAGAGGTTCAGGATACTACGGTACAAAATGACTGCCCAATTTTGGCTTAGGCCATTGAGTAGACAGTGAGTCATACACTGAGCTGGCGGGTGCTGCCGGATAGGCCACCGGGGGATTCTAATGAATGTAGTTTGGATTTGCTGAGTTTGAGGTGCCTCTGAGATATGTAAGTGGAAATAACAAAAAGGCAGATGGACAGACAGGTCTGATCTCAGGAATTAGATATATAGATTAGATATAAATCTGGATAGTTATATGTTACATCATTGACACATTTTGTTCTAGAAGGTACCTCATATGAATTCTGCTGAGTATAGATATCACTCAACAAAATAATTTTAATCTTTAGTAGTTAATTAGTCAGACCATCTTTAGAATTTAAAGAATTGAGAATTCTATCCCGCAATACCACCTCTTCTTTAAGAATATCAGAGTACTGCATTGCCCTAATAGTTCAGAAACACACTGCCTCAAAAACCCAGGCAGAATCAGAATTCAATTTTAAGTTCAGGGACTTGGTTCTATCCTAAGTGTTCCTTACATGGACCCCAAGTGCCAATTAAATAATTGGCACTTGGGAATTGGGAATATAATTGGGAATATAACAGTCAACACATCCAAATAGTAATCTGTGAATAATGGACATTAATTCACATATTACAACATTTATCAGAACCAGAGTTTTCTGCTAGGTAGAATTAGACAAGTCAATTCTTTAATTCAAGGACACACCATATGATATTATTATTTTATATTTCATCTTGTATATTTATGTAATATTCAGTATTTTATGTTTTATGATACATAACATTATGTATTATGTTATGATACATAACAAAATAACACCATATGATGTTATTTTACAATAATACAAATATATGTAATACATAATTATTATATTATTTTCCTGACCAGTCGGAAAAAGGATGTATTCTAATTATAAAAAGGTCAAAATTACCTTAGAAAAAGGTTTTAAGTGTTAGTTTGAGGCAGATGAAAACTGTGGCAGGTTTCTAAAATTTTAGGAATACTTTCCTCTCCAGTAGGGAGAAATATATGGAGTGGATTATCATTCTGCAAAATGTTATGAGTAAAAAGCTTTTTCATTTTTTATATTGCTCTACTACTGTTAAGACTTTAGGGATTATTATGTGATTAAATTCCCTTTTGGGGGTACATACCTGTAAAAGATTTACTGAATTCTTAATTGTATTTTATTATATTCAAAAACCAAAAACTTTGTTCAGAAGAATGCATACAAAATTTTATTATGGAAAATCAGGTTTGCCCAACAAAATTCTCTTTGCTGGAACGCAACTAACTATTCCCTTTGAGAGAGATTTCTAATGCTCTCCTTCATAACTGGTCTTAGTCAGAGGTCTTCACGTCAATGCTTCCCAAAGACTTTTCCCACTCCATAAAAGAGAAAAGTAAAGTGTTTACACAGGACTTTGTTCCATTTGCACATTAATATTTCATTATATTTTATTTTGCCACTCTCCCTCAGATAATTGCTCAAATTTTCCCTTCTTGATAATCAAAATCCCTTCCATACTACAATGATACAGCAGAAAGTGGGGTCGGAGGACAAGGAAAGAATGGAAAGGAGGGAGAATCACAGAAGGCCATTTAAGCCGTGACAGCCACTGACTGCCACTTGCTGCATGAATGGCAGGGGACTTCAGGTCGAGTACCATGGCAAAAAAAAAAAAGATACCGCCTTCTAAATCGCTAAATGCAGCAGCGATTTATAATTAGTTATCAGGAGATAGAATCAAAGTTTAGTCACTACCAATGTTGTTGGGGTGTCCCTCCACATTCACATCTAAGAAACGGAGAGCAGGCCATCTTCCACACACAGCGAGGTGGGAAACTGCAAATAAATGAATGGGGCATTGCTTTAGAAGCTTTAAGCCCTTTACAATTGTAACTTATTGTTACCACTACTCTAGGTTTCTGTGCCAGAGTTTAGATCTGGTCTTTCTCACTGAAACCAATACACTCCGCCCTACGTTTACCAACATTTTCTTCAGATCATTTCTGGCTGACATGTGGACCTGAAGCCATGAGTGTGTGGCAATAAACCAACTTGGGGTGAAAGGACGGGTGACGGCCTTAAAAGGAAAGCTAAAGTCTTGAACTTTAAAATAATATAGGAATTAACAATGTAAGAATACAAACAGGTTCATGCAACAATATACAGTTATGCTGGAAATGCAATCCTGGTCCTTGGGCAAAAACTACTTAACACTGGGAACCAAAACCTAGCTAGAGGTAGTGGAAAGGGAAGCCAAACGGGCCTGAGTTTGCCGCTCTGCTTGAAACACAGTAAAAGACACCGCCCAGTGCCAAGAACTGCCATTCACTCTGACGAGCTCCCAGGGAGGGTTAACACTACAGTGATTAATACTGTTTACAGGGGCCATAAATTGTATGTAAACACCCAAAGGAGAGTTAAAGAGCGGTCTCATCGGTCCCATAAATATGGGGAGAGGGGACAGGCAATGACTCCGCGTAAGCCTTGGCCCTCGCCGCCTGGAACTCCAGAGGCTGAAGCGCCCCGGAGCTCCGCATTCCTCCAGCTCTCGCCTGGCCCGCAGCGCTATCTGCGGGCTGCGTCCCTCACGCCTACCAGCAGCCAGCCGGGAGGGGCCAACCCCACTTCCTGAGGCCTGTGTAAGTTACAAAGCAATGGATGCGGTTCCTGCCGCAGGTCCCAGAGTCCGCAAGCGCCGGCTGGGGCCTGGGGAGTAGGGGCTCCCCCCGAACTCCGTGCGCTCCGGCGCGGCAACCGGTGCACCGACTCTCCCAAGCGCAACATGGGGAACTGACCCGCGAAGCCCTGGTGACCCAGGTGGCCAGGAGACTGGGAAAAAGGAAGCTCTCCCCCGGACCCCGGACATCCCAGAAAGCGGAGACGTTAGACCCAGGTCAGACCCCGAGCTCTCCCGTTCAGTGTAAAACAAATTGCAGGTCCCCTAACTCGTGAAGGTCGGGCACGTTTTCTCCTTCCCTAGAACAACTCCCTTTCCGTAGCTCGAGGGGGGGCGGGGGGAGTCTCTTTTAACAGCGTGCCTTCCAAAAGTTACACAGCCTAAAATTAGTGCTTTGTTGGTTTTATAAGTGACTTTGGGCAACCAAAGCCTCGGACCTGGGGCCAAAGTTGGGCATGAGTTACCTTACCAGTTGCAGCAAAAGATGCCAAGAGTCTGGAAAACCAGAAGAAGCGACTGCACTGGACCACGAACCGCCTGGGCTGCTGCGCCCCCTTTCCGGAGCCCCACCCTCCCGAGCAGCAATGGCCCGGAGGTCGAACACGTTTCCTGCCAGGAGGACGGCTGGGAACTGCTCCCCTGCCCGTCGACCACAGCCACCCTGTCCCCACCCTCTCCTGGCGGACACCTCCGGGGCCCCGCCTTCCGAAGCCGGGGCGTGTGTGACAGGCCCTCCAGGGAAGCCACGTCCCCCCTTGGAGATCACTGGCCCAGCGCCTCTCCCTGCGCGAGGCACAGATGCGCGGCTCTCACACCCGGGCCGGGAAGAAGATCGGGGGGAAACCGTATGGCAGCCTCGAACCCGTCAGAGGAGTTTGGGTCCTCCGCAACTACACGGATTCCGAGACCCCCCTCCTCTTTCCTCGTTCCTGGCATGCTCTCGCGTCGCCTGGGGGAGCTGAACTCAGGTTCCGAGGAAAGTGCACGCCGAAGTTGCTTCCATCTGCGAAGGCGCTCGGGAGCCGCAGAGGAGTCCGCCCCCGCCGCAGCCCACGCCCCGTCTCCCCGGGGCTGTGGGCACGTTCCCCAGCCCCGGGCTTCAATAATGCATGGACTTACCTGCTCCCGTGACCCGCGGGCCGCCTCGCCTCCCAGCCGCCGCCGCCGCGTCCCCAGCGGCCAAGGGCTCCGGTCTGGATGTTTGGGTCGTAGAAACCGCGGGGGGGGGGGCTGGACTGTGCGAGCGTGAGTTCTGGGTGCGATGTTCTTTAAAAATGAAAAGTGGAGACCTAGACAACGTCCGAAAAAAAAACAGGAATTTTTTTCTTTTCTGTTTTTGGACACCCGATTCAAAACGCCTCTGACTTGTGCAATCTTCCTGCCCGGTAGTTCCGCCAAAAAAGCACAACAGTCCTAGTGCAAACCTGGAGCAGGCGCGCAGGCACCAAGTTTGCCAAACACTAGTTTTCCGTCCGCAGAAATGGCCCAAAAGAAGGGGGCAGTGCGCTCCCGGTGATTCCCCAATCGGCTTCGGGAGCCGGAGGCTCCTCCTCGCCCCGCGGCGGGAGAAAGCCCGCGGCAGGCTGCGGCCGCCCGCTGCCCGCCTCCGAGGCGCGGCGACTCCACAACTTTGTGCGCCAGCCGCCCGCCGGCCGCCCCGCCCCCCCGCGGCCCGGCCCCTTTGTTGGGGCGCAGCGCCGGAGGCAGAGGCTGGGGGGCGCAGGACCGCTCCGCGGCGCGCTGCCGTCCCCCCGGGAACCGGCTCGCGGCCCGCACCCGGGGGCCCGCTCTTTCGAGGACGAGGAGGCCGCGCAGGTCCGGTCCGCCGGCCCGCGCCGCTCCAGCGCTCCGGCTCCCCCTCGCCGCCGCCGCCCCCCAACTTTGTTCCGGGAGAGAAGCCCCTCTCCGCTCCCGGCGCGGCCCCCGCCCGGCCCGAGCCGCCACCGCCGGCTGGGCTCCGGGAACGTGGCGCTCCGGGTCACCTGACCGCGCGCCCCGTCAATCAGCGCCCGCCCAGCGCCCCCTCCCTGCCCGCGGCCGCCGGCCCGGCTCGCGGCTCCGGGAGTCAGGAGCTAGACTGGGGGGGATGCCTCGTGCAAACACCATCCCCTTTATTCAGATTATCCCAAAATATGAGTCACGCCCCCCACTCCAGGCGAACCGGGTAGTTGGGGTGATTTTTTTTTTTCCTCCTTTGGAGATAAATTTTCATTTGCTCCTCCACTCACCCCCCTCTGTTGGCTGTGCTGTTGCTGGTGTCTGGTCCTAGTTCCAAGGGTATATTTATAGAGTGTTCTTAGTGTCGTTTTCAATATTAAGACAAACGTGAAATTTCGTTTCGTATTCATTCATACCTAAAAATAGTGTTGGCGCTGACCTTATTTTTCTATTTTTCCAATACACACACACACACACACACACACACACACACACACACACACGTCTGTTATAGAGCCTGTCTCAAGGCTGAGGGGTTGGTCAAAAAATACCTGAGAAGAAATGAGTTTGTGCTGTGTGTGTGCATGTTACTTATTTACATACTTCCCCCAGTGTTTCTGCCATGCCTTTACTTGATCATCACACTTGGGAGTGGGAAGAAAAAACAGCAACCTAGGTTTCTAGTTCCTATAAACAAAGAGGAAGTGGCGATTGATAAGCAAGCCCTGGCTTATTGCTGGTTTAATATTTGAGAGTTAATTTATGAGTTAGTAAACATAAGCCACTAGGGGCCTTAAATGAATTTTTCAGAAAGAATTAACTAGCCTTTTATTAGTTACAAAGTGAAAGCTTTCCCAGCCCCTAAATGCTGTGGGGTGTAGGAGGTCCTGAAAGATACTGTTTCTTATCATCTCTATTTAGCTTCCTTCCTTGAGAGTTTTTCTTCATATAATCCAAATAAAACCCACAGGACTAACTTGAAATAGTTATGATTTATTCATTCATTTTCATTCATTCATTCAACAAATGCCAATTTGGGGCCTGCCAGGTCTCCTGGAACTGTGAATGGTACAAATAAAAATCCCATAGAGATCTTACCTTACAAAATTTCAAATCTAGTGAGATAAGGCACATAAACAAGGATATGAAAGATCAGCAGTAAGTATCTTAAGAAAATGACAGATCAAGTGCTACTTGAGTCTGGTTATATCGAGGGAGATTGAGGTTTCTTTGAACTGATAATTCTGCAGACCCTTAAAGCTGCTTCATCGCACACTGTATCCTGTTGAGCTGATGGAAACTCAGATTTCCTCCTTTAAAATAAAACCACATTGGAGTGTTTGAGGACTTCGTTAGTTAAAATGTAAGTGGAAAGCACTTTGCAAATTGCAAAGTGTTACACAAATATTAATTCATTTAACTGAAAGTTTTTGAAAACCACAGTCATTTGGAGACCTAGAATTTCTGAGTTTTTAAGCTCTGAGGGAATGTTTAGTTAAGCTTCTCCAAAGGCGGTAAGGAAAGGGCCATTAGGGACAACAGCCGCCAATCTGTGTGGGAGTGAGTCCGCTCCACACCCCAGCTTCAGTGGCTTATGGCACATTACCTAGGGCAGCAGTTCTCAACCTTCCTAATGCCACGACCCCTTAATACAGTAACTCATGTTGTGGTGACCCCCAACCATAAAATTATTTTCGTTGCTACTCTATAACTGTAATTTTGCTGTTATGAATTGTAATGTAACTATCTTTTTGTTTTCCAGACGGTCTTAGGCGACCCCTGTGAAAGGGTCGTTCAACCCCCAAAGGGGCGCGACCCACAGGTTGAGAACCGCTGACCGAGGGAACTGTGCTCTGTTTCTGGCCCTTCTCCCCTCACACCCAGAGGGATAATCTCTGTAGGCCGTGGGCAAGAGAGAGAGAACAAAGAACGTCTGTCGATGGGATGGATGACCAAGAGGTCCCAAGCTAGTCCTACCCCTTTTTTTTTTTTAAAGATTTTATTGGGGAATTGAGGGGAGGGGAACAGCGTTGGGAATCGGGGAAGGGGAACAGACAGGTAGACAAGTTGTTGTTTTGTTTTTCAGTATAGTTGTGGAGGATGTTGCTTCACTGGCCCAAGCTGGCACCATCATTGCGCTCTTCCCGATTGAGGCAGATCAGTCGCCGGTCTCTGGATGGCCGCTCACTGCGGCTGCTGGCCTCTCACGCTGGCTGCTGGCTACACACGGTAGCTTATGGCAGCCCACTGCAGCAGGGGACTGTCAGCCTACGCAGTTGCCGGCAACTCACAGCAGCCCAGCTCCAGGTCGAGCTGTTGTTCAGCATCTCAGCTGTAGAGGGCAGTGTCACTGGCCCTCATATGTGGGATCCGAACCGGGGCCCTCTGGCATCCCAAGCCAGTTCTTAACCAACGCACCACTCGGCCGGCCCCTACCCCATTTCTTTTGTAAGTGAGGAAACCACATTTAGTGGATGATTTTGACCACAGAGGGCTACGTTTCCATAAAGCAGACCATGTGACCTTCCTTCCAAGCCTGAGAATCACGCTGGGGGGAAAGTGAAGACAGACCAGCAGGAGGTGGACAGCTGTTAGTGCACCTGCAACAAGCATGCCACCTGCAGTTCACACAGCAGGTTCGTGGGCCTGTAATGACAGTGCTCGGTGGGGTTTGGTCTGCCCTCTGCAAAGATCGATGTGGAGCATTAAGAGGAAGTGATAGGCCCTGGGCCTACCATTAACCCAAACTCTGAATTGCCTGACAATCACCACAAAACAGTGAAAATTTAAGAAAATTGAACTGCTGTCATTGGTATAAAGCCCATAACATAAGAGAAAATATCATGATATGTGTCGTGCATATGTAGATTCATATATAAAGACATGCATATGTGTGTATATATCGAGTTGTCGAAAAAGTCATGATGCATGTTTGCACTAGTTCATTTTTGGAAGTACTAGAATCATTCGCATCTATATTATTGCTATGTCATTTGACAGCTGACAGTTCTAGCTTCATCTAAAAAAATTGAGCAATTACGGGCCTGCCGAGTGGCTCAGCTGGTTAAGAGCTCGCTTGGGAGTGCCAGCTCTGAGCAGCAGGGCTGCGGTTCAGATCCCACATTGAGGGCCAGCGATGCTCTGCGCCCTTTACAGCTAAGATGATGAACAACAGCTCCACCTGGAGCTGGGCTGCTGTGAGTCACCGGCATGAGCGGCTGGCAGCCGGTGTGAGATGCCGCGAGCTGTGAGCAGCCCACCAATGACCCGCGACCAATTGCCTCACCCAGGAAGAGCACAATGATCAAACCAACATGGGCCAGTGAAGCGACGTCCTCCACGACTAGACTGAAGAACAAAAACAGCAATTTGTCTACCTGTCTGTTCCCCTTCCCCGATTCCCCAACGCTGTTCCCCTCCCCCCAGTTCCCCAATTTAAAAAAAATATTGAGCAATTTGGTTGAGTTTTGGAGATTTTACAAGTAGAAGATGGAAGACCAAGCTGTGCATTTTCGCCATGTTCTACTGTTTTACTTCCATAAAAAGAAGAACGCGCATCAAGCTTGTGAAAAATTGCATAAAGTTTACGGTGACAATGCTCTATAAGAACGTCAGTGCCAACAATGGTTCACGAAATTCCATGCTGGTGATTTTGATCTCAACGACGTTCCTCGGTCAGGGAGGCCCACCGAGGTTGATGACAACAAAATAAAGGCATTGATCGAGTCAAACTCACATTACACGACATGAGAGATTGCAGAAACATTGAACATTCATCATGCAAGCGTTCATGACCACCTGAAGAAGCTAGGATACGTAAGCAAGCTGGATATTTGGATTCCACATGAACTCAAATAAGTTCATTTGCCGGTACGTATAAACATCTTCAATATGCTCATTAAACGTGACAAAAACGATCCTTTTTTGAAGCAACTGATAACTGGTGATGAGAAGTGGATTGTTTACATCAATGCAGTGGGCAAACGGTCTTGGTCCCGATGTGATGATTCACCTCAAACGACATTGAAAGCAGACAGGCATTCATCAGAGCTCTCAGTGTGGTGGGATTTTAAAGGTGTCGTGTTTTTCGAGCTCCTACCAAGGAACCAAACAATCAATTCGAATGTGTACTGTCGGCAGTTGGACAGACTGAACAAATCCGTCATCCAGAAACGTCCAGAGCTCGTTAATCGTAAAGGAGTTGTGTTCCATCTCGACAATGCAAGACCACACACAAGTATGACCACCCGTCAAAAATTATTGGATCTTATATGGGATGTGTTGCCACACCCACCATACTTGCCTGACCTTGCGCCGTCAGATTTCCACTTGTTTCGCTCTCTTTAAAACTCCTTGCATGGTATAACGTTCAATTCAGATGAGGCTGTAAATCATCACCTTGTTCAGTTTTTTGCTGATAAAGATAAGTCCTTCTATGAACGAAGAATTATGAAGCTCACTGAAAGATGGCAAAAGGTTATCGAACAAAACAGGCAATATAGATCATTGATCTTTGTTTTTTATATAAATAAATGACCTTTGAAAAATATAGACAAAATACGTCATGACTTTCCCGACAACCCAATATAATATAGAAAGACATGATTCCACATATTGTTCCTATACAGGGAATTGCATCCTAATATAAGAGCCAAAAATAAACTTTTTCAACTAAATTTTGTGCAGGAGTATATACATGCAGTTTCTCTATAAACAGCTGAAACATGGGGAAATACACACTGTATGAAAAGCAAGACATTCAGTTTTACCATTGGTATTGACTATGAATAAAGCCCTACATAGAAGCATTTAAGAGAAGGACCAATGTTAGGGGATTTACCCTTTCTTACTTCTTTCAGGCAAAGAAAGTATAGATCTAGATCTGTGGCTTATATATAATAAATACTAGAAGATTTGCTGAAATTGCTGCTGAATTCTTCAGTCAAACATCTAGTCCTTATTCTGCAAGTTGAAGATAGATATAAACAAAATCCTTTGTGACACAATTAAGGAAATAATGATGATAATGATGCATGAAACTTTCAGAA